GGGGGGGCTTTAGAAAGGATTGATGGATGGTTGTCGCCGCCTGATCGACTGCTTTCTGGTTGGCCGGCACGATGGTTGGTGCGGCGGGGTGGCACACAAGCGTTGCTGCAGAGAGAGGGGGGCGGGCGGGTAATGGACAGACAGACAGACAGACAGGTGGAGAGATGTCATCGTGTGTTCATTCACTCATTCACACGAGTGACGCCTCACCTGCTGCCTGTAGGTGACTTGGTTGACACGGTAGCCCGCTGGCTTGCTGGAGGGTGTTCAGTTTGTGTGCGTGTGTGTTGTGCGTGTGGAGGGACTCCTCCTGTGTCTCTCTCGTGGCTGTGCCTACATTGTGCATATGGCTGATGGATGCGCTCACGAATATGTGGATGGATTCATGGCCATGGCGTGTGTGTGCCTGCATTCAACGGTGCTTCTCAATTTGTTGCATGCATCGATTGCCCACACATTCACGCAATCTGGGCGTGTGTGAGCTTTGTGCGTCAACCAATTTTCATTCCATTCATCCAGTAGCTCCATGCCAAAGTGTCGGCAAACGGTCCGCACACACGCACACACACACCCCCCAAACCACACACATGAACGACTTAGCCAGCCAAAAAAAGACGGGAATACACAGAAGGCAGGCAGACGGGCAGACGGGCAGCGTCGCTCTGTATGGGTCAAAACAAAAGACACGGCAATCGATTGGCAGGCAGGGCGGCGAGGCAGATAAGAAACACACACATTCATCCCCCATACATGCGGTGGAGATCGGTGTCTCAAGTAGCGCACACACCTGAAGCAATGGGCACATAGGTGGTCTGATTCAAAAACTGCCGAGAGGCTACCGTCCGTCTGGCTAATCTCCCCCGATACCCCCTGCCCCTTACGTGTGTGATGTGTGTGTGTGTGAGAGACACTCACTTGTCCCCCTCCCCCTCGCCGCCATTCTTATCTTTGTCGGCCGTGCCGCCGCCCACTGGCAGTGAGGCGAAGCACGCCTCCAGCCCCACCCCCACGATGCCGTCCGTGGACAGCTCCAGAGCCTCCTGCTGCAGGGGGATGTTGGTGTACTTGGTCGTGTGCAGGTGCATCACCGCCACCCACACCAGCGCCAGCAGATACATGTACAGGTACGGCGTGTTGACCAACTCAGAACTGCAGTGACAACATGCACACACAGGCTGGGACACAATGACCACAGTGACCTCTTTGTTAGTTCCTTACTCGGACATGAGGAGGTCCCGCAGCTTTGTGTATGTCTTCTCGTCGATGGCGTCGATGTCTACGTCGGCGATGGCCTTGTGGAATGCGGGCAGTGTCAGGATGGCCAGGGGCGTGTTGCTGTCGGTGGGCGGGGCGGTCTCGGTGAGCGACGGCAGGGCGGCGGAGAGCCCCTGCACGAGTGCGATGGCCTTGGCCGGGGGAGCGGGGTCCCTCCCCAGACCCACCAGCACCTCAGACGTCAGCTGAGGGAGGGAAGGGGGAAGCCAACACACGCAATGTGTCTCGGTCTCTTGTGTCCATCCATCCATCCAGGCTTACTTTGGCTTTGCAGTATTCGATGACCATGTTGGCGCAGACTTTGGATACCCAGGCAACGGGCAGAATGGGCTGGATGTACTCCTGCACCGCCGCTCTGATGTCGGCAGGGGCGGTGGCGCTCGACAACTTCCTTATCACCTTGGCCTTCTCGTCAGCATCTACACACATGCGCACACACACACACAGGGGTGGATGGGATCGACGCACACGGACATGTGTGTGTGTGCGGGGATGGGGAGGGGGAGAGGGGGGAGGGCCATGTACCTGTCGGGTAAGCGAAGTAGCCGGGCATGCTCGTGAAGGGCGTAGCGTAGCCCGGCACGTAACCGTCGACCCATTTGCGCATTGATACCTTCGGGCTGGGGCTGCGCCATCGCGGGAACCAAAATGACGAAGGAAGGCTAGGTTGTTCGTGGCCAGGGTCGGTCGTGTCGGTTTTTCGCCGTCACTTTGAACTTTTGTCGGTCCGGATTGCCTGCTCGTGTGCTGTCTCTCAGATCTCTGAAAAAGGGTCCTTTATCGACTTTTCTGGGGCCCACCGAAAAGCTCGCAGACGAGGAAAAGAGAGAGGAGGAAGGGAATGAAAGTGACGAAGGGAGGGACTCACTGATGTCACGTCCATCCCTCCGCCCATCCGTTTGGCTATCACTCTGACATTTCTCTCGGACAGAAGGGCCTCCTTCCTCTCTGTCGCTGGAGGCCTTCTCTGGGGAATTAATCATCGCGGCGCTTAGAAGAGAGAGCCACCCGACGGTACGCGCAGATGCGATTCGTTCGCCACTAGTCATCAGGTGAGTTGCGGCCTCTGTGTGTCGGTGTCGTGTTGTGCAGGTCGGCCTTGGTGACGGGGCGGACAGATTGAGCGTCATTGTACCATTTGACTCATAGCTAGGTGGGCGAGCACACACACGACACATGCAGCAGGTGTCTGCCCATCTCTTGTCGCCTCTCTGTGTGTGTGGTCGGTGCAGCTGTTGGTGTGTGTTGGAGTGAGATGTCTGGAGGTCACGACAGCCGCATGGCCTCCGCTGCCATGGCGGACGGTGACGGTGGCGATGCGGGTACGCCACACACAGATGAATGTGACACATCAAACACACAGCATCAGCGCCACACGTGTGTGTGTGCCTTCGATGGTGTGTGCAGACGATGTGGCTGAGGAGGATAACAATGGCAGCGGGCAGCCAGACGGGCAAGACGACAATGGCGCTGACAGGGGTGAGTCAACGGCACGCCACACAGACTGATCAACACACCAGTAGCACACTCATTCTCGCGTTGTTGACGAATGTGTTGGTATGCCTTCGTTTCAGATTTGTTGCGTGAGGAGGAGGACGGCGAGATGGTCGAGGAGGAGGGAGAAGGTCTACAGGCGGCAGCTGATAGCGAATCCGAATCGGTGAGTCACTCATTGACAGCACCAACCGCCCCATGCGACGAGCGTCAGCGGTTTTCCTCCCTGTTCCTCTTTGTTGTGTGCAGGATGGCAGTGATGACGACGGGTGGCTGGGCGACGGCATCGATGACGACGACGACGACGACTATGAGGACGACGACAGCTATGAGGAGGACGGTACGCCAGACAGACAGACAGACAGACGCGAGAAAATGTGATCCGCACACACATTCCTTCACAGTGTGTGTCGTGTGGTGGCTGTGTGTGTGTGTGTTGCAGGCCATCCTGTGCTGGTGGCCACCACGGTTGAGGTGCCTGACGGCTTCGGGGGAGCCAACGACATCGAGGCTCGATTCCCCCACGGCACGGACAACCTCACCAAGGAGCTGACGCTGGGCATCATCGGCCGCACCATCTCCGCCCCGCAGAACGCGACCGACCTCATCGAGCAGGGTGCCGACCCCCATGTGGTGCCTCGGCTGCGGCAGAAGGGCAGCGGGTGGGCTGGCGTTCCCTACTCGCTGGTCCATCTCGCCATCGACAACAAGTCGGGCTACACCGTCCCGACCATCGAAGCCGAAAACAATGATGATAACCGTCCCGTCGCCCTGCCCCAGTGGTCGTCTGACGAGCTGCAGGCGGCCGTCCTGACCGCACTCATCGACGGAGGCGCCGACCCCAATGCGGCAGAGTATCAGACCGGGGAGACGCCCCTCCGAGTGGCGATTGCATCCGGCAATAAGACGGCATTCGAACCGCTGATGGCTCGTCAAGACATCGACCTGCACGCACAAGTCTTAGACGGCGCAGTAATGGTGATGGCGCTGCCCCGCCCCCTGCGTGACCCTCCTGCTGACTACCAGGTGCTGCTGTCGATGTATCGGCGACTCGTCCGACGGGACCGCACCTTCGCAACCCAACGAGACGTCTGGGGCCTGGTGTACCAGGCAGCCATGAACGCACGCGGCCACTACCCCCAGTCCTTCATCGTCGGCTACCTGGATCTCATCACGGCGAACGGGGCCGACATGACGGCAGCCGACTACAACGGATGGATGCCACTGCACGAAGCGGCAGAGTGGGCCTCTCCCCACGTGGCCGACTACCTCTGCCGCAAGCTGCCCGCTGCCGAGATCAACATACATGACTCCGGCCGGACGCCCCTCGCCATTGCTGCCATCAACCTCTATCGCCGCACCCAACACCTGCAGCACCCCAACACACCCGAGCACGTCAAGGAGGAGTGGCGCGCTCAGTGTGACAACTACAAGCTGACCATCCGCAGTCTGCTGCGGGCGGGGGCCGACATCAGCACCATCCCCACAGCCACAGAGGAGGTCCGCCGTCAGCGCCCGTTGGTGCTGACCGAGTACGCCGGAGTGCTCAATGAGCTGCCCGCTGCCGTCATGGGTGCCATCAACGCCGCTCTCGCCCCTCACCGCTCCCTCGCGGCCCTCCTGACCCCCTGGCTGGCCGTCGGACCGCAGGAGGCCCCCATCTTCGGCTGGCGCATCGCGTCATACCTCTTTGACATGAACGCCGCCCAGGAGGCCATCAGTGAGGCCATCGGTGTGCGGCACACCGACATGGCCCGCCGTGTGTGTGCGGCAGCAGAGCACTTCGTCAAGTCGGCGGTGTACCAGGCCAGCAGCAACAGGGAGGTGGTGGGCGGGACGGCCGATGTGGGCGGCCAGGTGGTGCGTGTGCCGCAGCTGCAGTGCTTTGTGGTGGGCGGTGTGGGTGGCCGCAAGATGGAGTTGCGTGAGGTGGTGCGGCGGGCCATCCTGGACGAGGCGGCAAAGTGGGGGCTGGCAGTGGCCATCGACGACGGCTTCAGCAAGGATGTGGCTGCCTTCGAGTGGGGGCAATTGGGGTGGGTCGACAAGGGGCGGGACGGCAGGGAGGCCTTCAGATTGATGCCGCGCACATGAGAGACCAAAGATAGCAAGCAGGTGGCAGGCAGACGGGGGAATTTTGGTGTAGGGGTGGATGCTTGTCGATGCGTGCCGCACTCTATGTAGGTGTTGTCCGTTGTATGTGCACGCGCGGCTCACCAGGCAGATGGTGAGGCGTCGCTGTTCACGTGCTCACCACTTATGTGGAGATGTCACGTGAACAACGCAGTGATGACTCACCTGCTGCCTGACTGCGTGGTGGACTGCCGGTTTAATCAATTGGACGTGTTTCTGAATGACCTCTTGTGTGTGAAATTCAGTTAATGTGATTCATCCCGTTGTATGGAGCCCTCCAAGCCGCTGTCGTTTTTCGCCGCGACGCTCAGCATTTGTCGCCCCAGATTATCTGCTTATAGCCTTCCTGTCTTCGACTTCTTCAAAACGCATCCTTTGCTGCCTTCTAGAGACGGCTGGGTTGTTTGGCGGCCAGGGTCGGTCTGGGTGTGTCGGTTTTTCGCCATCACTTTACATTTTTTGTCGGTCGGGATTGCCTGCTCGTGTGCTGCCTGTCATAGATCTCTTCAAACCGCGTCTGTCGTATCCTTCCTTCGGCATGGTGCGACGGTAGCTCGCAAAAGAAGAAGAAAAAGAAGAATGCAAGCAAAGGGCTCGCCTGGTGGACGGACAATGGTGGAGTGATCGATCAGCTTGGAGATCTGTTCAAAATTTGCCTCTTTTCCCCTCGCTGGGTCCGTCCCCCGCACGGCAGATGAGGGGTGTGTCGTCAGGAGGGCCCATGTTGCCATAGATGAAGGAGTCAGTGCTGCTCTGCTGCACTAGATGCGGTCAGCACACACAATGTGGCATGGGAACGGCGAAGCAGATTTATCAAACCTGCTGTGTTTTGTGATGAATCGCAGGCCGATGGACCAGGCCAGCACCATCGAGCAGCTCGAGACAAGGTGAGGGGAGGAAGGGAAAGAAGGAGGACTCTGCTGGGTGCGATCAATGCGCTGGTTCTGCCCCTGGCTTCTCTCGTTGTTTGGCTCCTGCAGGTGTCAGATGTGTTGGCACTCAAGCAGTCGAAGAAGCCCTACATTCTTCGAGATGGAGGGTGCCCCCACTTGCGCAAGGTGCCAATGCATTCATTGCCGTGAGTGCACACGCTTTTTCTCTTTTTGCTTTCGCCTGCTTCAGAGCATCGATACCCACCATGAGGTATGCCAGTCCGCTCTCTCCAAGATCAGGAGCCATGGTCCGCCTGACGACGATGGCCGACCCTATTGGCCAATGCCAAGCTCGACCTGCTGCTGCAGCTGCTCCAAGTGGAGGTGAGAAGAAGGCGCCACACACGTAGGCACGCATCCCTCCCTACTTTTCTCATGACACTTTGACTGCTGCTGTATCAGTTGCTGGTCCTCTCCCCTCTCTGCACGCTCCCTGATGCGCTTGCATTCGAGATCCTGGCACCCCTGCTCGGCACTCCCTGCATCGCCAAGCTCGCCCGTGTCCACCCGACTCTCAACACGCTCGCCACCCACCCCAACACGCACAAGGCGGTCCACCTGCAGAGCGAGGAGGGGTTTACACTGAGGCGGCACCAGCTCCTCGCATAGCGTCGTCGGCTCAGCAGGACCAAGCGCATTGCGATGCGCTGCCCGCTGACCGTGAGGCTGGTACAGCTGGTGGAGGGGACGAGGGACACTCTGGAGGAGCTGGTGGGCGAGACACTGGACTCGTGCGAGGTGGATCTGCGCTCCCCTTCCTCCGACGACGGGATGCTGTTCCCGCAGCTGCGGACAGTGAAGGTGACCGGCGCGTGGGGAGAGGTGGCCTTCGATCGAGACTGGCGACTTGGGTGAGCGAGGAAGTGCTCAGAAACACACCAGTGAGTGCCATTGTGTGTTTGCTTACAGATCGCTGGAGGTATTTCACGGCCGGCAGAGGCACCACCTGTACGTCTTCGCCTTCCTGCATAGCACCTCCTGGGACTCGCCAATGGGCGCGTGGGTGGCATACTCTACGGACCTCCACACTGTGACGATCGAGCGCCCCCTGCCCCGCCACATGTGGCTGTTTGCCGACCCTGCGGATGCTGTCATCCGCGAGTCTCTTCGCGAGAACCCGGCATTGAAGCGCCTGACAGGCGTCGAAATGCCCATGTATCTGGGGGAGGATGAGGAGGTGGAGCCGCTACCACAGCTGCTCGAGCTGAGGGGCACAATTGTGGGGCCAAAGCTATGCTTCGACGCCAAATTCCAGGTCAGATGTCCACTTCCACACGCACACACACAATGGCTGGCGCGCACATCAATTGGCGCAATGTGGCTCTCTGCAGGGTTTCCACAACAGTCGCACTCGGATTCTGGCGCCCGGTGCGATCGAGGACTATTCTGGCAGCGACTTCACCTTCCCGTTTGCGCTGCTGTGGCGCATCATCGACGAGCGTGGCCACGTCGATGAGTGTGCGACCACCGCGATACTCGTCGCGTCTTACGCCACGGAGGTCTCATTCCCGAGTGGCCTTCGTGACCATCAGGTGTGTTCGGTGGGCTTCTACTCGCTTGTCGCCCGTCTGAGCTTCCCTCGTGCCACTAAGCTTACCGAGGGATCAGACGAGCTGCTGCCTGTGCCAGACATGCTTTTGGATTGCATGGGTCGGCTGTTTCCTTCTGTGACCACACTCGATCTTTCTGAGGGAGAGGAGCTGGGCGAGACAGTGGTGCATGCGGCCATGGGGCAGCTCACACAGCTGCAGACCATCACTTACTACGTTGACACACATGAGGACGGTTTCTGTCCTGCATTCCTGAGGGGTAATCGAGGGAAGGGGCCGTCGATTCATGTTAGCTTGGATCGGCTGGATAGCGAGGAGCTTCCGCTCACCACACTCACCATTTGCAGGGAGGGGGAAGAGAGAGAGGGGTCGGTCGATGATCCCATTACGCGCATCACCGCCACCGTGACGGCGGACCACACCAACGACTTTTCCGTCGAGTGTGCAGTGCTCTCCATTGGGCAGGCAGTGGCTTGGCTGCCAAATCTTAGCCAGATAGTCTTGGGAGTTCCCCTGTGGTAGATGCAATCTTGCCCACACCATGTGTTTCCGACTGACGCCGAGACAGCGGAGGGAGGCGAAGCTGAGTGGGTGGAGTTCATGGACTTGCTGCGTGTGCGTAGCTTTGAGTGGGTGGAGCTGCCTCATCTTGGCTTCGAGTGTCGCGTTGCCATTCAGAAGAGAGGCCTCTGCCCGCCATGTCAGAAGAAGATCACTGACTACTTCATGCCCCTCGTGCGCTGATTGATGCCCGGAGGTGCTGTGGGTGGTCGTGGTGGTGTGAATAGACCACTGAATTTCATTCAGTTTTGTGTACGTGTGAGTCCCAGAGACACCGAAACGTCTGTCTATCAACAGCCGGCCATTTCGTTTGTCAAAATCGCCACAAAACGGGCCGCAGCGCTAAACCCCTCCCGTGTTCACGATCCAATTGATTGGTCAGGCAGGAACCCATCCCTCCCCTTACACACGCACAACTACGAGAAGTACCTTCTGATGTCTGTCTGCACAGTCTTCTTGCTCTCCTGGGGCTCTGCCGGTCCGGCAGCCGCGCGCGGCTCGCCGTGCTCGATGCTCCCCTCGGCCCCCTCGACATCCATCGGCTCATGCCGCTGCACACGCTTGGCCTGCGGCTGGTCACCCCCGTCACCCACACCCTCTCCCTCTCCCTCCCCCTGTCCGTGCCCGTCTGTCGTCTCGTGGTTCTGCTGGTGGTGGTGGTGGCCGATCTCTCCGTTGGTCTGCGGATCGACACCATTGGCGAGCTCGGCCTTGGGCATCGCGGCCTCCTTCATGGTCTCTTCGGTCGTCTGCGTGTGTGTGTCTGCCTCGTGTGCGCCGTTGAGCTGCGCAGAGGGAGCGGGGAGTGAGGAGGGCTGGGGGGGCGGCACAGCTACTGATGGACGACAGAGGAGAAGACAAGATCACCTATCGGATTGTTTGGCCTGTTTGTACGTGTCTGAGTGTTCCCGCCTGTGTGCACATACCTGTGAGCGAGAAGCTGTCCCCCGGCTCGCGTATGTCCTCACGATACTTCTGGAAGACCATGCGGCAGATGGCCTGACGCTCATGCTCGTCCCTGAGAATCACACACACACACACACACACGCAAATCAGTGAGGGTCTCTGGGTGGTCTGTGTGTGTGTGTGTGTGTCTATCGTACCTCACGACATGCACCCAGAATCGACCAGCCGACTCCTCGGCGTTGCGGAGAGGCGGCGGGCGACCCTCGTAGATCTCTGCACACACCACACACACGCACACACCACACACACGCACACTCTCATGGACCCATCCACAACCCACCCACCACCCTCCCATCCCCCCACCGCTGATGAGTGTCTCGACGAGTGGCTTTTGGAAGTGCTGGTAGCCCAGTTCGCCGAGGGACTTGATGATTCGCGTGATGCGCAGGTAGTTGTGGAATGAGTTGTTGAGGTGGCTGATCCTGCGGCGGTAGTGCGACTCGACACCGCGCTCGACCTCACCGCTGGCGTCACACAGGCGAAACCCGTAGAAATCTGCAGGAACCACCAACGGCGCACAGATGAAGGTGCGGCTGCCATGGTGCATGGCTGCTGCCCTGCCCTGCCCCTCCCCACCATGCCATGTGTGTGTGTGGTCCTCCCTCTCCTCCCCGTCTGACTGCCTGGCTGACTGACTGACCTAGCATCATCTTGTATGCGCGCAGCACTCTGCCCTTGACCTGCTCATTCTTCGCCATGTACTCGGCCTCCACCTTGGTCAGCGGCGGTGCATCATCATTCAGGCCACTCTGGCGGATGGGGAACAGCCACTGACGGCCAGCCACACACAGACACAGCCATACCCAGCCACACAGCATAACCACTTGCAGTGCTGTGACAGTGAGAGTGTGCGTCATGCTGTCTGTCTGTCTGTCTGTCTGTCGCACCGCAGCCAGGTACCTGAATGTAGCCATGGTGCCTCTCCAGCAGGTGGTAGTCGCCGCGCCAGTCCGCCAGTATGGCCTCTATCTTGGCGCCCCGGGGGGTCGATGGGATGCGGTTGAGGTAGAACTGCACCATCTCTGTCGACTGGCCATCACGCTGACCCGGATACCCACGCCGATACCTGCAGCACACCACACCACACAGAAACGAGATGAACAATTACGGCGGCGTGAGAAGAATGGCATGGCGCTGTTTGGTGTTCTCACCGGACGGTGTCCCGCATGGCTGTCGGTGGCGATGAGGCAGGGAGCCAGGAGAAGGCCCGTGCTTGCGCGGCGATGGCGAGAAGGCCAAGAAGGCCGTTGAAACCGCTCCGACTTATGGTTTGTCGGATTTCGATAGGTGATTAGCCTACAGGCGAAGCACAGAAGCCGCACAGGAGCTCCTCCAGGGGCCAAGGGGCAAAATGGGCGAAAGCAGGCGATCCACTGGATCGACTCGCCGTGAAGCGCTGTGAGGGGCCGTGTGAGGTGCGGGAGAGAGGAGCTAATCACACGCCGGAGTTGCGACACATTAAAGATCTGCGGCTTGTTCGCCGTTTGTGTGTCTGCAGCTGCCAATGCTGAACGGCGCTGTCGCAAGGGCAATGCTCGGCGCTGTCGCAGGGGCCGCAAGTCCCAGCGGCAAGGTGAGATCATGCTTCTGACTGTAGTGTGTGCCACTTCGACACAGAGTCGCACAATCTGCCGCTGCATATGTCTTGTTTCAGGCACTTGCCCCCGCTGCTGCAGCTGCTGCTGCTGCTGTTGCTGCTGCTGTCGCCAGCCCGAATGGCGGCAAGGTGCGGGAAAAGGCCTCCATGACGTGACGTGTGGATACGGCACGATCCTCCTCTCTGTGTTGGTCATCCTTGCTGGTGTGGTGTTGTGCGTGTCTGCAGGAGGATAGAAGATCGTTGTATGAAAGGAAGCGCCAAGCGGACGGCGCAGCAGGCGGACAGAAGGGTGCGAAGCAACCCAAGGTCAGCAGAGACGACACACGTGCCATACGGTGGAAACGCGCGCGTCCCTTTGTCTGTGCATTGTGCGTCATTGAGCAGTCCAATGCCTGCGTGGAGGTACGGCAACGGGAGCTCAGCCAGTATATCGACCAGCCCCTCGCAAGACGACTCCGGGAGGAGGCCGCTTCAGCTGCTGCCACAGAGGTGAGGGACGCTCTCGCACACAGTGACGCAAAGGCTTGTCGCTTCTCGGCCTGTCTGCAGGTTCTCCATCTCCTGGCACGCGAGCGTCCCGTGAGGTTGTGCACGAGTACGACAAGAAGAGACAGGAGAACCAGCGCCTCGAGGTACATAAGACATCTGACGCTCTCCGGCACTGCTCAGCCCAGCCCGCTCTCTGCGCTGTGTGTCAACGAATGAGCAGGCGGAGGTGAAGCGTTACCAACAGCAGATCACCGCTCTGCGAGCACAGATTGGGGCGCTAGAGACCAGCAAAAAGGCGGCGGAGGGAAAGCTCACCGCGTGGCGCAGCAATACGGTCGAAAGGTAGGCAGTCAGCGTATCCCGATCCCTGTCAGACAAATCTGTCGTCTTCTTTTCCTTCCCGCCGCGCGCAGTTTGACCGCTAAGCTGCCGATGACGCAAACCAAGAGTGGCCTGGCGAGTTTCTTGCAGACGCTGAAGAACAAGCAGTCGGCCATCGCCAACGAGGCGGTCAGCGTGCAGCGCCTCGTCTGCCAGACCGAAGAGCGGCTGGAGGCCAGGCGAAAGGAGTCAGCGGAGAGGCGTATCAAGGATGCCATCGAGAAGGCCAAGACAGAGGGGAGGGAGGAGGGCTTAAACTGCTCCGTGTGCTTCGCCAAGGAGAAGAATGTACTGCTCAAGCCCTGTGTAAGCACACAGAAAGATGACCACATTGTGGTTGCCCGGTTAATGTGTGTGTGCATGTTTATGTGTTTCGCTTCAGGGTCACGTGTGCCTGTGTCAGTCGTGCTATGTTGACATCACGACGCAGCCTTCGGCGGCGGGAGGTCGGTGCCCGGTGTGTCAGAAGCACATCGAGGGGTTCGCGATCGCATACCTGCAGTGAGTGAGTCAGACGGCTGTGGGAGAGGGCGGGGTTATGGGTTGACTGACTGTTTTGGAAGAATGCATGGGATGACTGTCTGTCTGACTGTCTGACTACCTGACTGCATGCGCGATTCCATTCAGGATGGTGCATGTGTGTGAAGCTCTTTTTGGCTTGGTTAGATGTGTGGCTTTTTTGGCTTGGTTGAATCACAGCTTTCTCATTGCAAGATACACACAGAGCTTCAGTCGACCGATGGATGACACCACCACGGATAGATGACATAGACAGGTGTCCACACATCCATCCATCCATCCATCATGTGAAGGGAAGGCACCCGCCCCCTCACAGTAAGGGCGCCACTCAATGAAATTTCCCTCCTCCGTCGGGCTGGCGGGACTCGCTGCGCTTTCGCCGTAACGCATGCGAAGCCCTCACGCGAAGCCCCCACGGAGCAAGCTCGCGAGTCCTGTAGTGCACAGAGTAGGAGGCGCCGGCCATGAGGGGCCTTATCGTCGTCTTTGCAGTGTTATGTAAGGAAAGGAAATATGAGCGTTGTCATCTCACCTGCAACTCGACCTGCAAAGAGTTGGCCTTGTCCCTCACAGGTCTCCCGCCGTGGCGCTGCGCTGCTCTTCCGAGGTCCAGCGTGAGGAGGGATGCAACGTTCCTCCCTCGCGTCTCTAAGCCCAACCCAAACCCCACAGCGGAAACCCTGCGAGGAGGACTAGGGTTAATTCGGAAACCCTGCGAGGAGGACTAGGGTTAATTCTCCTCTCCCCAAACGATTTTCCTATCAGTCGGTTCGGGGACTCAGAGCTAGTGGCATTTTGAAAGATCCATCTTGTTCTATTCTCCCGTAAGCTTCTGATTTGTGAATCCCAATGGTGGCAGCGTTCGTGGACAAGTTCATTTGGATGGGGGTCATCTTCGTCGCCGCCATCGTTGGTGCCGCACTCCCGGGTGGGTAGATGGACGATCCTCACACTCAGGCAGACAGACGCTCTTTCACTCCCTGTCTGTCTGGGCTGCTTGTCTGTCTGTCTGTCGTGTGTTGTGTGTGCAGGCGTGATGAAGCAGGGCCAGGTGTCCGAGCTGCTCTTCGAGGTCCTCACCGCAATGGCTGGCGGTGAGTACTGTGCGTGTGAACAGATTTTGTCTGACCCTGTCAGACGACACAGAAAACAGAGGACCATGCCCATGCCTGTGCCTCCTCTGTGCCTTCCTTCTTCATGTCATGTAGGTGTCTGCCTGGCGGTCTCCGTGTGCGACATGATCGTGGACGCCTCGTCACAGCTGGCCCAGGCGTTCGGCGACCAGCGTGCTGTTGTTGCGGGGATGCTCTCGTGGATAGGCTTCCTGCTCATGCTCACGTTGGAGCACATCGCCGAGTTCATCCGCCACAGGAGGCAGAACCTCCCCCCCTGCAGGCCCGTACCCTTCCACTTCGACGCACACGCCTCCAAACACCTCCACACAGGCGACAGCGAGGCACCCAACGACCGCTCGGGCGGCGGCGGCGACTCGCCCCTCTCGTCCCACAAGGCCAACAAGCACCTTCATGAGAGCCTCCTCGGCCACACGCATACGCATCAGCATCCGCATCCGCATCCGCATGAGCATCCAGCAGCTGCAGCAGGGTGCTGCCATGGAGAAGATGGAGGGGCCATGGCGAAGATGGAGGTGCCTGGGGCCATTGGCAACCTGGTTGGCAGCGATGTGGAGGACACGCAGTGGCACGCGCTGAGGGAGAAGGACATCGCTTGGTTCCCCGCCCTCGTGCTGTTCGTCGCCATCTCCGTACACAGCTTCATCGAGGGTAGGTACCATCCCATCCACGAGCGACACATCGATGAAGCTCTCTCTCTGTGTCGGGTGTGTGTGTCCGTGTGTGTGTGTGTGTGTGATCAGGGATGGGTCTGGGGTCAGCAACTGTGAGCGTTGCCAGTGTGGGCATCGCCATCATCGCACACAAGTCCCTCGCAGGATTCGCACTTGGTGAGAGGAGAGGAGAGGGCAGCCGAGGCAGGCGAGATGGAATGGACGCACTAGCTAGCTAGCTACCTACATCAGCCCCGCCCCTCGCTGCTGCTGTACTGTTTCCCCAGGGACCAGCCTCGTGGCGAGTGGACTTCCAATACGACGTGAGTCGACAAACACAAGAGACAGCGACGAAGACGGGTCGGGTGTGGTGTGATGGGTCTGTTGTGTTGTTTGTGTCGCAGAGTTCCTTGCGTCGGTCCTGACGTTTTCCCTGATGACCCCTCTGGGCGCCGCACTGGGCCTGACGATCCTCTACGTCAACCAGGGCACGGCCACGGGCGCCACCGCCTGTGGCGTCCTGTCCGCCCTCGCTGCCGGTAAGGTCTTATCTATCATACAGCACAACACACTCATGGCTGGATGGGATGGCCGGTGGTGGGGTGGGCTGGTTGGTTGTTGCAGGTACATTTTTCTACGTGGCGTTGTATGAGATCATTCCAAAATGCCTGAGGGAAGGCGTGCAGGTGAGACTTGACTTGACTGGACCAGGCGGCACTGCACTGCACTGCAGACTGACTGATACTCACTCCTTGGCACAAGTGCCATCTCTCTGCCATCTGTCTGTCTGTCCGTCTGTCTGTCTGTCAGGGTCTTGCCTGCCTGTACAAGATCGTCGCTGTGTGGATCGGCGCCGCTGTCATGACCGCCGTCGCATTTCAATCGTAGCTAGCCGTCGGTGTGGTAATGTATTGTCTGTCGTCTTTTTCATAAAGTTTTCAACCGCCATGCAGGGGGCGCACGCCGCACGCACCGCTCAGCCGTCTGCAGGGGGCGGCAGCGGCCGAGTGGGTGCGCGCAGCTGGCTGCATGCGCGTGTGTGTGTGTGTGTGCATATGATGTGTGTGGATGTGATGTGTGTGCTGCCATGCCGTTTTGGGGCGAAAAGGGCGTGGCAGCAGGGAGGGAGGGATGCCTGCCATGCCATGGGATGGCTGGGGTGGCTGGGTGAATGTCCACTTGCGTGATTCGATTCATAGCGTTCGTGTATAAGCACGGCACTTGCTGGGGCGTGGATGGCATTGGGGTGAGGTTGTGCAACCAACCGGTTAGACAGATGTCCTTGGTATCATTGATTTCTGGGCCCAGTTCCAACTGGCCAACGTGATTTGATGTGTGTGACGGTGGTGGTGTGGTGTGGTGTGGTGTGCTACATGCGGCTTGGGTACACCACATCCATGCCATGCCATGCGCGCGATGAGGGACGGACGGACTGAATTGCATCCCACCACGGTCATGTTTTAATTGAATGCAACCATTCGCCATTCGACCCATGAATGAGTCTGTCATGCAGACGCTGTACAAGAACGACCATCCCCACACACAGCACACACAGACACACACACACCCTCTCCCTTTCTTCTACGAATTCGTCAGCTCAGACAGTCCCGCATTTCGCGTGTTGAGCGACCGCCTCTTGCCCCAGGCGATGACCGATATCCGCGGGCCGGCCTTGTCCTTGTCCACCTTGGGCACGCCATGCTTGAACCGCTCGTTGACCAGCGAGTTGAAGGCGAAGATGTCACCCGACTGCTGCGGGAACGAGAAGACCGAACCTGCATTGAGTTGAGAGGGAGAAAGCGGTGCTTGTGCTGGTGCTGGTGCTGCTGGCGCTAGGCTGTGAGCATTCACCTGACGGCTTGTGCTTGAAGGCCAGCTCACGAGACGCGCCGAAGGAGGCGCCCACGGTGAAATCCTCTTTCTGCACCTGACCCGCACACATCAACACACACCACACCACACCACACAGGTAGACAGACAGACACACAGCACAGACCAGACAGGGAAACAGACGTGCAACTACAGCTTATGTGAGGTGATGTGTGTGTGTGTGTTGCTGATCTGTGTGGTTGCCCGCACGCCCGCCCGCCCGCTCGCTCGCTCCCTGACGTCCTTTCTTACATGTCCTCTGTCTTTGCTGTATGCGTGGCTGTCGTGGTGGTAGGGCTTCCAGTCCGACCCACAGCGGTAGAAGTTGAGGCGCGACGCGTAGACCTCCAAATCGAAGTAGTCAGACAGCCGCTGCAGCACACTCTGAAACGCTCGCGAGAAGTCGGGGTCCTCCAGCTGACAGAGAGAGGAAACCGCGCGGTTGGACACCCGAGCGCATAAGTGAGTGTGTTTGGCACTGTTTGCCCCTTTGGTCCTTCTTGCCTTGAGGTGCTGCGACCAGCTGACCAACCCGCCCTCTCCCTCAGCGTGTGACACCACATCCTCACTCAGCTGCTCAAACAGATCTCCAGCGTCACCGAAGAAACTCGGCAGATAGAGGGATCCCCCCTCCAATGCTCTTGAAAAGTCCATGAAGCTAGTGGAGTCGCACATGAGGAACTGCGATGAGCGCATGGCCTTGTGGATGGATGCGGTGGCCGCATTGGGGAGCGCGACGGTGCCGATGGGGCGGTTGGGAGATGGCTGGTGACTCACGGGATGGGACGAGTGGGACGCCGGGCGTGCTGCTGCGCCTGCTTTGCTATCTCCCTTGTCCCTCCTCCAGCGCGTCTTGCGCTTCGGAGGATCCTCGGCAGGCGGCAAAGAGCTACTCATCACACGCTGCTTGGGCCTGTTGAGAAACCAATTAGGCTGTAGACGAGGTTTTCCTATGCCGGGTCGCTTGTCAAGCTCGCAATATCATTTGTAAATTCTTCGTTCCCTCTTGCGTTCGCCCCAAAATGAGCGTCCTGGAGTTGGCCGCGCGTGAGGACGGTGGCCTCGATGACCTCCTGGCAGCGGCAGCAACGTCAATCGACCCGATTGTCCACGAGATCCACAAAGCCCTGCGCCAGACGAAGGGCAGACAGCGTGAGATCCAGGACGCCCGCCTGAGCGGCCTGCCGCAGCGAGGCATCGTGCCGACAGGGCGGGATGCGCTGCGCAGGCTGATGGAGGAGGAACTCAGGAAGGATGGTGCAGGAGATGAGCAAATCCGCCGCCTGATGAGAAGGACCGCCGGCAGTGGAGATGGAGTCCTCGCTGGCAACAGCAGCAGCAGCACCATCACGAAACCCGATTTGCTTCGCCTGTTCCACCGGATGCACCTGCGTCTGGTGCTCCTCAACTCGACAGACCCGTCGCTGCTGCCATCCATCCGGCAGTCGGCCATCCGTGACCGTCAGAGCGACTCAGCTGCACCCATGGAGATTGACGCCGGCGCGACGGGCAGCCCTTCGTGCCTCACTGGGGAGCAGCAGCAGCGACTCATCCGTCAGCTCTGCCGGCAGATGGTCCGTTTGCACTGGCCCGACCCGACCACACACTCCGAGGAGGCAGCCATCGCCGCGCCGCAGGCCCCTGTCCCCTCCCCGCCCGCCAAGGAAGATCAAGCGACATCAGCTGGCCCGGCTGACAGCAGTGGTGTGTATTTCGCCTCTATGGAGTGGCATGACGACGTGCTTGAGGGCCTGATTGAGCAATCTGCCCGGCTGGCGTCTATCACAGGCATGGACGACGGCATCCCGTCGGCGTCGGCGTCGCCATCGACATCGACATCGCAGCCCCCCTTTCTCGCCGCCCTGCGCCGTGTGACGAGCGAGATCATCCTCCTACTTCTCTGCCACTTCCTGACGCTGCCTGCGATCACTTCTGGCCGCCCAGTGCGTCGGCTGGTGCTCTCGATGACGGGGTCCTTCCAGGTCCTGCGGGACCACATCCAGAAGCTCAAGCAGAGAGCAGGCGAGAACGTTTCTGGTCGGATGCGGTGGCTGGAGCTGGTGTGGGGGGTGGCGCAGAGGCACCTCCAGATGGTGCCGTTTGATGTCATCTGGCTGCTGGTGAAGGCGATCGTCAAGAGCGGGCCGGCGGCCTTGCACGTGGATGGCTTCATGGTGCTGATCAGCCTGCACATCTGCGGTGGCTGCTGCTGCAGGTGTCGCAACCTGCCCCACATCGATCCCGCCGACAGCAGCCACTGCCTCATCCGGCTCGCCCGGGTGGCACAATGCATCTGGGAGAGCTTCGTGCAGTCCCTCATGCTCAGAGACGAGCCGGCCACGGTGTGCTACCTACTGCTGCTGAGGTACGTCTTGGCGCGGCCACGGGGCCCCCCCGAGCTCAGGAGCGACTTTCTTCCGCGGTTCCAGCGGTTTTCGGACCGGAGCCTTCCTGCCTGCTCGTCAATGCAGCTCAAATTCCCCAGGGCTGACTTGGCCGTGTCGCTGGTGGATGCGGGCGAAGAGTGGCCGGGCGGGCGGAAGGAAGAAGAGAGGGGCGCGGGGAGGAAAAAGAAGAAGACACCCGCTGGGGCAGTGGCAGCAGCAGCAGCAGCAGCAGCGGAGAGGCCCAGCTGCGAGCACACCTTCTGCCCGTCACACGAGTGCAACATCAGCCGCACCATCCTGCAGCGGGTCAGCGGCCAGGCCAGCCAATCGCCCTTGTCCCCTCCCCCACCCAACATCCCCCTCATCTGGCCCCTAAATCACCACCAGCAGCAGCACCAGCAGCGTCAAAAGCGCATGCCATCGGCAGTGGAGCCCCGAGTGCTGGCGGCGATGAAGGAGTCGACAGACAGCTACGCAGCCCTCCTGCTTTTCGTCCTGACGACTGGCGACCAGCAGCTGCACGCATTCGGCCAGATGCTCACGACGACCGAGGGGCCGGCACAAGACGCCGCACACGGGGACGTGGCTGACCTCGTCGCCGGCTGTGTGAGTATGAGCGTGGGTGTGGGTATGGGTGATGGGGAGGAGGAAGGTGGGGAGGGGCGGGCGAGTGGTGTGCGTCCGGTGGAGCTGAGTCAAGGCGGCAGAGATGGCGGCCCAGTGAGCCCAGGGGAGAGGATGAAGACCGACCTCATCATGGTAGGTACAACAGACCAACACACGTCCCTGCCTCATACAGACACAGCCCTTCCTCTCCATCTGCTGTCTTCTCCCTTAGGCCTTACGGCGGCTGGTTGACGTCGAGATCGAGCGCCTCCTAGTGAGGTACGACAGCTGCGTCTTCGGCCACATCCTGGCCAAGATGGGCGGCTTGCAGTCGTCATCGGCCGTCCGCAAGGGCCTCGTGGCGGTTAAGAAGGCGGCCGACGAGCAGGCCAGGAAGCTGCCTGGCGAACAGGAAAGGAAACCCGACCCATTCGCCGATCTGGTGAGAGGAGAGAATGAAATGAAAGGCAGAATGCCATCCGACGTGTGTGGTGTCTCTCTCACCGCTCTCTGCCCCAATCCTCTCTTCCGTCTTTTAGATAAGGCGTGGGGATGCCGCTGCTGCTGCTGCTGCTGCTGGTGGTGGTGCTGCTGCTGCCAGCGTCCCCCCATCCCGCCCAGCGTGGCCCATGTTTCCCTCTCGGCTGGCACCCCAAGTGCAGCAGAGGCAGCGCCAGCAGAATGTGGCGCGCAGCGCCCAGCACAACCCTGCAGCGATGGATCTGACGGGCGACGACCAGCAGCTGCAAGGCTCGCCCGATGTGATTGAGTTGGACTGATGGACCGACCGGCTACTGTACATGGTGGGGTGTGGCGACTTGTCAGTCATGGCGTTGATAGCATCCGACATCATCACGTATGTGTTGAATCGCTCGTTGGTTGATGTGATCCATCCATCAATCTGTCGCGTGAGTCACACACCGCATCGCCGGCCATGTCATGTCATGTGTGTGCGCGGCGTCTGTCTCTCTTAAACACACTCACGCCACCCACACCCCAGTCCCCAAGTCAGCCATATTATCCAGAGCACGACAGATGAGAAAAAGTAGGCAGATGCGACTCGCATTCACGCAGTGGACCGGTGCACATCAAGTGAGCCACTGTCTGTCTGTTTGTCTGTCTGTCGTCAGTTTGCTCGTGTCTGAGGTCGCTTCTTCTCGCCAGCGGTGAAGCAACGGCCCTTTCCGCTTCTGTCAGAAAGACCCCACCCCTATGCATCACCATGGACATCAGCAAACAAACAACCAGCCGCCCGTCATCACATAGCCCACCTTACGCAACACAGACAGACAGACAGACAGCCCCGTCTATCTGCCTGCCTGCCTGCCTCTTTGTCTCTCTCTCTCTCTGCCCTCCCTCACTCGGGCACGTACTCCTTGTCCCCCTTCCCCTCCCCCCCTCCCTCCCTGTCGTCCTTCCGGGGAGCTGTCATGTCCCATCGAGACCTTTTCTTCCCGCCGCCCTTCACGCCGCCGCTGTCAGGGCTCCTCTCCTCACCAGGGCGATCGCCATCATCATCACGCTGTCCTCCTTTCTTAGAGTTGGCGTCATTCAGCTCGCCATCCTCCTGCCTCCCGTCCCTCTCGCGCCGACGGATGTCCCTTGTGCGTCGGTCGTCCTCATCGCGAGCCCCTGGGGGGCGGTCTCTGTCAGCCTCGCGTCGGTCACGGCCGCGATCACGATCATCCTGCAGGGAGAGACAGGCAGTGGAGGTGTCTTAGCTGGCTGCTTTGCTCGTTCGAGTGGGGTCTTGATGTCCTCACCTCCTCCAGATCTCGATAGTCTGGTATGCGCCTGCCATCCTTGTCAGAACGGTCCTGCTCACGATCTCGGTCACGCTGCGTGAAAGAGCAGGGGACAGACAGACGAGGGGGTGTCCATGGAATGGGTTTCTTGTGTCGTCTGTGTGTGTGCTGTGTTGTTACCTCACCTCATCGTCTCGATGTCGACGGTCTCCACCGTCAGCCCCCCCGTCCATCCACCGCCCCCTCTCGCGCCGGTCCCTCTCCTCCCTCTCCCTCTCACGATACCCACCACGCCGCATGTCCCCCCTCTCCTCGCGCCTCTCACGATACCACTCGCGATCTCTGTCGTCACGTCGAGACCCATAGCCGCCACGCCTATCGCGCCAGTCGACGTCACGGCCCCTGTCGTCTCGTGGCGGCGGGCGGTCGTAGGGGCCCCGCCGATCATCATCCCTACGGTCGTCTCGCTCCTGGCGTCGCGGTTCTCTCGGCCGATCGTCAGGCCCCCGCTTGTCGCCCTCCCTCTCCGGGTGCTGGTCGAGGACATTCTTGACCGAGGCCTTGGCGTGCAACCGGATCTGCTCGGTGGTGTCCTCGCCCTCGCGAGAGGGCCCACCACCCCAGCGGTCCGCCGTCATCTGCTGGCGGGGCCTGGCGCGCTTGCGGCCCCTCTCCTCCTCATCGCCATACAGAGGGTACATGGGCACATCCTCCTCACGCTCAGCACGAGATGTGGCACTGTAGTAGTGGTCACGGCGCTCGGCGGCCGAGTGGGGCGGAGGAACCTGGGGCTGCTCTCGGTCGGGAGGGGGGTGGGCGGCACTGTCTTTGGCCGCTTTGTCGACTGGTGGCGGTGGGCGTCGTTTGCGGCCTCTGTCGTCGTAGGGGCAGTCTGTGGCCTTCCAGGGGTCGACTGGTGCCTCGATCGGGTCGAAGCGGCTGCTCCTGAAGACAGTGTGACCCTGAGAAGGCATGCAATGCAATGAGGAATGCCATGTTGCCGTCCGTCGCTGTGTGTGTGTGTATGGGTGGGCTTAGCCACGGCCGAGCTGACCCGGCCTTTGAGGGTGCGGCCTTTGTGTATGATCTCCACTGGCTTGACGGCGGGCTCCTCCTGCTCCTTGTTGTCCTTCTGGTCTGCGGGCTCCTCGACGTGCTTGTTGTCCGGTAGGTCATCCTCGGCCATGGCGTCCTTGTCGTCCTTGTCCTTCTTGCCCCGCTTGTGCTTCTTCTTCTTGTCCTTCTCCTCGTTCTCCTTGTCCTTGTCCTTGCGCCGCCTCTTCTTCCCCCTAGCCTTGCGCTTCCTGCGCCTCCGGCGACGCTCCTCCTCACTCGACGAGGAGGACTCGGATGAAGAAGACTCGTCGGACGACGACTCGCTGCTGCTGCTGCTGCTCTCGTCACTGCTGGACTCACTCTCGTCTGACTCTTCTTTGGTCTTCTTGCGCTTCTTCTTGTTCTTCTTCTTGTCGGGTTTGGTGCGGGGGGAGCGGCGGTCGGCCTCTTCTGGCTGCTCTTCTGGCTGCTGCACGGCCGCTGCTGCTGCTGCTGCTGCCGGTGCTGCTGCCGGTGCTGTATCGGGGTTGAGGACCAGCTCGCCACACTTGCGAATGATAATGGGCTCGCTTGGCCTGGTGAGTTGCCAGAGAGAGACAGAGTTTGCGCATGGAGACTGTATGTGGGCTGGTGTCGTGTCTGCCTGTCGGTCTGCTGGTCACTTACTTGTCTTTGCTGCCTGCCTCTGGGGGTATCTGCTCCACGGCGTCTAGCACGTCGAAGCCATCCACAACGCGGCCGAAGACCACGTGCTTCCCGTCGAGATGGGGGCACGGGGCGAAGGTAATGAAGAACTGGCTGCCGTTGGTGCCAGGACCTGATATATCGACAGACAGCGGTGGAACCACACGCACACACACACACGCACACACACATCTTCCTCATCCACTCGTCCACTCGTCCACCCCCGCCACGTTTCACCTAGGTACCTGCATTGGCCATGCTGAGTAGGCCTCGTTTGTCGTGGTTGGCCTTGAAGTTCTCATCCGGGAACTTGCCGCCGTAGATGCTCTCGCCGCCGGTGCCGTTTTTGTTCTGGAAGTCCCCGCCCTGCATCATGAAACCCTTGATGACGCGGTGGAAGGGACTCCCTGCGCAAGGAACGGGACACCGCACACCACACCACGTACTTACATGTGGAGCCCCCCGGGATGTCAGAGACACCCGTCCGTACGAGTGACGTGAGGTCCATGCCCCCTGCTCTGCTCTGGCTTTGCTCACTCACCCCTGAAGGTGAGCGGGAGGCGGGTGGCCTTCCCCGTGCCCATCTCGCCGGTGCACAGACACCTGAATCAACACCCACACACAGACGCAGACACACACAGACATGCATGCCACGCATGAGACCACCCATCCATCCCTCTCGCCCTTCTTGACCGCCCCGAGACCTGAAGTTCTCGCACGTCTTGGGCGTGATGTCATTGAACAGCTCGATGACGACGCGGCCGGCGGGAGTGCCGGAGATCAGCACGTCAAGAAACACCAACTTGCGGCTCTTCTTGCCCATCCTGACTGGTGAATGAGCGCTGAGCTGTGCACGTTGTCAGATCTTTTCTGTCCCTGGTCTCAAGCTCGCAAATCTGCGAGCTGAGCGCGCAGAAAGGGGCGTGATTTCGTGCTGTTTTGGGCCCTGCCTGATGCCTGCTGACACTGCAAGGCCTTCCCGATAGCTGCTCGTGCAAGATCTCCCAGACCGGCTCGTCGCTCTCTTGTCTTGGTCCATCCGCCTGTTGTCCCTCCCTTCTTCCCTCGTCCCCTATCCCCTCACTCAGCGCGCGTATCGCAGATGAACCATGCCACCTCACGCCAACAAACAGAAGAAGGCGTCGGCGTCAGGTCTGACCCACCTGCTGCTGAGCAAACTGTCCATCGCTCTGTGCGGCCTGGCACTCGCAGCGGCACTGCAGCTGACACCAACGAGGCACCGTGCGTCGGCGTTCGCGCCTCTGGTGGCGCCGCTGAGGGTGCGGCATGCACAGAGGAGGGTGGTGGCGAGGCGGCATGCTGTCGGTGCTGGGGGTGTGCGGATGGCCATTGGAGATCTCATGAACGAGGACGAGATGAAGACTGGTCGGTGGGCAGGCAGACAGGCGGCAAGGCAGGGAGGGAGGGACAAGGAATGCACGGACCAGACAGACAGACAGACAGGGAGGCGCATTGTCTATGGCTTATTCGCTCGTTGGTTCGTTGGTTCGTTGGTTCGTTCAGCCTTGGAGGAAGAGTTGGCAGCCCGTGACCGCGTCAAGCGTGAAAGCAAGGGCATCAAGGACCTCACCCTGTGGCCCGAGGGATGGCCACGGGACTCCTACTCGGAGCAAGAAGTGGTCAGCCATATGAATGGACACACACACACACACACACACATCCATCCATCCATCCATCTCTCTGTTGTCATGTCAGCTGATCAAGATGGGCGCGAAGCCGTCGCCGCCCCCCGAGGACAAGGGCCCGCTCGACTACATCAAGGAGCAGCGGAAGGAGGCCCAGGCCGAGAAGACCGAGGAGAACATCCGCAAGAACCTGGAGGTCTACTCGACGCTCGACGAAGGCGAGCCAATCAAGCTCCTCCTCGACGCTGAGCCGCACGAGTTCCGTTTCCTCCGTGAGCAACCAAGGCAGAGCAGACAGCGGGGGATCGATCACCTCACCGTGGGCAGAGAGAGGTGCCCATCTTGTGTGTTTGTGTGTGTGTGTGTGTGTGTGGCTCAGTGAGGGATTTGCTGCAGCCCCCCAATGCGACCCTTCTGGAAAAGGTCAGAGGAGAGGAGAGGAGAGGAGAGGAGCGGGGAGCAGCCGAGAACTGCATCAGATGGCTTCGCTGCGTTGGTTGCTTCAGATGGCCAACCCTGTGAGGCCTCGCCGGCAACGCAGTGGGCAGTGGAGGTGGAGTGCAGCCGTGGATGAGGCCTTGCTTCGGGTGACCAACTCTTCCAGCCCCCTCAAACCCGCACAGTTCAAACTGCTCGTACAGGGTGCGTGAGGGAGCAACCACACACACACACACACACACACCGTACCACCCTCTCTCCCTCTCTCTGTGTCTGACACACATCAGCTGTGACCCCCGCCCTGTTCCTCGCTGCCCTGGCCATCCCTCCCGTCCGTACGCCGGCCCTCATAGCGCGGCTGTTGCCGTCGGTCCCCACCCTGCAGTCACTCCTGGGCCCTCTGCAGCGGAGACTGCTCCTCGCTCTGCCGGCCGGTGCGCTGGGGCTGCGGCTGTGGACCAGAGAGGGTGATAAGTTTGAAGAGCGCGCCTTGCGTGACCTGGCTCGGCTGATGGCGCGGCGGGGGCCGAAGGATATCAAGCGGAAGGAGCTGCTGGATGTGGGCGGCGGGTGGGGTTACAACAAACGGTGAGTGAGTGGGTGGGGCTGTTGGGGTGTGCGTGTGTGGTGGGTGTGGGGGTGGGCGGCCTGTCCGCCACACACCTCTATATGAGGGTCATGATTGCCTCTCTCTCTCTCTCTCTGTGTGTGTGTGTGTGTGTGTGCGTGCGGCTTGTCGGTCGGTTTCTTCGTTCAGGCAAACTCGCGAGTTGTGCGACCAGATCTTCAGGGACATCCTCCTATACGCCTGCATGTGCAAACGGTAAGCAACCACACAACAGAACAAACCACACACCGCACCGCGCCACACAAAACAACGGCCATCCATCCATCGATGTGTCCATTATGTGTGCAGGGGCAGCATGCGCCGCGAGTTGCTGGAGCTCCTCGACTGGCGGGACGTGCTGGGCATCGACCAGGACAGGCTGCTCGACATCATGGCCAAGACATCCAGCAGGGTCAGGCGGCTGTGCTCTCCCGTCGTCGAGTACGAGTCGGAGGAGCACCTGGGGACCAACACCTTCGGCGGCAGAATCCTCGACAAGTACATCTTCTTCGCACACTGCCTCTTCGACAACCTGGTCACACACACACGCACACAGAGAGAGAGAGAGAGAGACGCTCATCCATGCCATGCGACGTACGTTGCACATGTGTGTGTGTGTTGTGGTGGCGGGGCTGTGTGTGTGTGTGTACAGGCCAAGAGTGAGGAGGTCGAGGGCGACGTCGACTCGGTCAAGGCCGGCAAAGACATGTACCAGTTCTCAGTCGACGAGACCATCGGCGACCTGCAGGCACGCTCCGCTCCGCTCCTCCCCCCGCCCCCCAACACACACACACACACACATCGGCCTCTCTCTGTCACTTGTCTGTCTGTCAGATAAAGAAGAAGGTCGGTCAGGCCCGTCTTAAGAGCCTGGTGACCGACGCGTACGAGCAGGTGCTCAACGAGATGTTCCCCACCACCCCGCTGCCGTCGATGGACAGCCTCACAGATGACAAGGTCCAGAGGCTCCGCGACGAGCTGGGCGAGTGGATCGCCGCTTTCGGCGTGAGCGACGAGATCATCGAGGAGACGCACAACAAACACTTCGAGATCATGGTACGCTCTGCCGAAGGGGGGTGTGTGTGTGTGTGAGTGGTGGGAGGGGAGACCCATCCATTCTCTCTCTCTGTCTCTCTCCGTGTGTGTGGTGTGTGGTGTGTGTCAGCTGAGCCAGATCATCAACTTCGACATTCGGCACCTCCGCCGCTCGTCGACAGAGACGGAGAGAAGGCGGCGCGACCTTGACATCGAGAAATACGACATCAACATCGTCGCGCGGCAGTACGCCGGGGCTGCTGCTGCCCCTGCTGCCGGTGATGGGACCAAGCAGGACAAAGAGGAGAAGAAGCAGCCGACGATCCAGGAGCTGTACGAGGCATCGATGGCGGCCACTTCGACTGACACTGTTGGGGGGCTGAACGAGCTCGACATCGACCTGTCCGACAACGACAACCAGCTCATCGACGCGCTTGTCGATGTCCTGGGGTGGGTAGGGGAGTTGCGGGGGGGGGGGGGGGGGGGG